ATGTGAGCAGGGGAGGGGCAGAGAGAGAGGGAGACACAGAATCTGAAGCAGGCTCCAGGCTCCAAGTTGTAAGCACAGAGCCTGACATGGGGCTCGAACTCACAGACTGCGAGATCATGACCTGAGCTGAAGTCGGACGCTTAACTGACTGAGCCACCCAGGTGCCCCTGTGGGTAGTTATTTAGATTCAAAAGGTAAACTATAGGGGCACCTGGGTGGCTCAGTCGATCAAGTATCTGACTCTTGATTTCAGCTTAAGTCATAATCTCATGGTTCATGGGTTCGAGCCCCGTGTCGGGCTGTACCCTGGCAGCATGGAGTTTGCTTGGGATTTTTTCTCTCTCCTTCTCTCTCTGCAACTCCCCTGCTTGCTCACACTCTCTCGCTCTCAAAAATACATAAACTTAAATTATTAAGATGGTAAATTTAAAAAAAGTAAATTATAAAAAAAACAGAACTGGGTCTCTTAGGGAACTAAACAGGAGCAAAAATGAAGAAAGAAATCATTTTATCTTTCTTCTCTCTTTTTTTACCTTGAACATCTCTAGGTTGGCTGCTTTGAGTCTTTCTTCCATTCGGGAGCTGGAGCGGGGACTGGAAGCCTCATTATCAGATAAAACAATGATGTCTGGGGAGGGAGTCAGCCTCCCACGGTCTGGCTCACTAGATAAGAAAAGAAAAAATTAAGGTATTTCAACAATTAAGAAAACTTCTTCTGCACGCTGAACAAAGAAATCCAAGGGAACTTAGGTCTGTCTCCGTTCACTCAGGAGATTCAAATCTTAGGACACAGATGACACCAAGATGTGAGTGGTGACAAATCCTCAGCAAGTGTGCTCTCCATCTGAATTCCTTGTGCAGGGACCACATCTGAATTCCTTGTGCAGGGACCAGACACATGGTGACTGGCTTCAGAAATGGGAGTGAGAGGTGAGTGTTCTTATCACGTCCATTGGAATCAAGACTCTAAACGCTTCCCCTGTATCTCACTTCCCTTTGGGGTGTCTCATTAGTCATGCAGAGGCTCAAGCAGGGAACGGCCAGCCTGGCGGAGGAAGAAGGGCAAGGGCAGAGCTTAGGTACGGAACGCCCGCTGCTGTGGAGGCAGCTCGGTCCGCCCTGCGCCGCGCGGCCCTGGCTGCCTGAGGGTTGACAGAGAGGAGCTTACAGGACGACCCCAGCGGCAGCCCAAGTTAAGACACAAGAAGGCGCTGTGCCAGCGGCCTGAGGGGAAGGACCGGGCCAAGTCTACAGCTCCTGGCAGACCGGAACTCCTAAACCGCATCCCTGGAACCTGCATCCACTTACCAGATTCGTACTCAGCATCTTCCCTCAAAAATAAAACTCTCCAGAAACGACTTTGAAATCTTAAATCCTCCTCACCGGCTCCCCTGTATTTCAGTTCTCACTTATTAGACAATTGTGGTTTTGGTCTTTTGGAGCTAGTTACAAGCATCATACTTATTTCTCTGAGATGATAAAAATGGCACTCCCTAAAAGCTGGATGGCCAGAATTCTGGAAATTCTGAATGCCTCAGGTTCCCAAACCAATGACCACATCTTTTAACTCTCTGATTTCTTAAAAACAAAAAACAAAACAAAAATTAATGTTTATTTATTTTTCAGAGAGACAGAGACACAGTGCAAGCTGGGGAGGGGCAGAGAGAGAAACACAGAATGTGAAGCAGGCTCCAGGCTCTGGGCTGTCAGCACACAGCCTGACATGGGTCTTGAACTCACGAACCGTGAGATCATGACCCGTGCTGGATTAACCGACTGAGTCACCCAGGTACCCCCTAACTCTGATTTTTTTTTTTT